CCCCAAAACCCCAAAACCCCAAAACCCCTCGAATAAAAATACTTCAAATATTATGTGGTTGTTTAAATCTTATAATAAAATTATTAAATGGATTCATCTATCAAAAAAATATAAAATAATGTGAAGCCACAGCTTCCAGATTTTGACATAAATCTATTCAGTAATGGTTTATCTTTGTATTAAGAAAATAAGAAAGAAGCTTTTAATGAATTCACAAGAATATACAAAGAATAATAAGAATAGTAAAATTTGTAGAATGCATTACAGGCTCAGATTTACATAATAAAGATTCAAGTATGGTTTACTAATTACTTGGCTGTCAAGAAAATACTTGAGACTTATTAAGAGTCCCTATTAAGACTAAAGGACAATTTGACAAATGAAAAATATAAAGAGCTTGAATACTTTAGAATTCATATGCTCTATAAATCAGGATATTACTTTCAGGTACTGGAACCTCTCAAAGAAATGGTTGCCTGGAATCACCTTAAATTCAATAGAGTCTTAGATGTCAAATCTAAAATATAACTTGCTAGAGTGCACTTTGAACTTGGAAATCATTACGAGAGCAAAAAATTATTCTAAGCTATAAAAACATAAATCAAAACAGATGATCAACTTGGAAATGATAAGAATTTGTGGCTTTCATTTTACATTGAAAAATCAAAGTATTTCTTGAGTTTGCAACTCTTCAAAAAGTTTGCAAAATACGTGTTAAGAATGTATGATTTCCTTGGCCAAGATAAATAAGTATAATAGAAGTAGATATAGAAATTCTTATCATTAGCAAACTTAAATGCATCTATCGAGCCTAAATTATCATAAGAAAAAGAGGTTGAGAGAGTAAACAAGATAGATTTGCAGGAAATTTATAACGGTGCTTAATTGCCTTTATTTTTAATAGTCATGGAATCTCAATTCTAATGATTATTCTACATAAAGAAAGATCTCACAACTTATATATGCTAAAGAACTTTAGTAGAATTTAAGAATAAAATAAATCTACTTGAAGAGTACATTTTTATATAAGAAGGACTTAATTTCATAAATCTTAAATTCAGGATATTGAAAACTATTGAATTAGTTTCTTCTAATGATTTCAAATTTAAAATAGACTAAGTAGAATCAGAATTCCGTTAAATAATCAATGATTACAAATAATATCTTGATAACTTTGAGTTCTAGCAAATCATAATTAAAGCAACAAAAATAATTCTAGAATTCACAATGTTTGAGGCTATAGAAGAAATTTTAAAGGATACTGTTATTGGCTAGATATTTTGTTATAGAAGTGAAACTTACCCTCTCAGTATTTATAGTTGCTATCCTATTTTAGATATAGCTTTGGTAGTACATTTTTTAAAATAAGGCTTCTCTACTAGCCTGATTTATTAAGAAGAATTTAAATTGAAAGCATAAGAGTATGAAGATATTTATTTCAAAAAGGCGAGTGAAGTTTTTCCTCATAATTATATGAATCATGTAAAAGCAAAAAGGATTATTGAAGAACTTAATTAATAACTTACACATCTATAACTTGACCTCAAAACCCATAAAGAAAAAGTAGAGCATACACTCACATAATTATCAATAGATTTATTCCATAATCAAAGAGATCACGTGATTGAATCTATGCTCTTTGTCTCAATTAAAGATTGTTTCTCCTCTTTATCAAATTTTTCAGAAGAGCAAATGCAAGAATATGAAAACTATTTGTAGCGAATGTCCTTTAATTAGTAAAAACACCATGTAAATTATTATTCAGAAGATACTGATATGATCCTTTTAGGATTCATAGGTTTGTTTTCGAGTCAAAAGATGATAAAGGAATTTTAGTAAGCCACCTATGACTTTATAGACTTCAAGGTTAATAAAAATTAAGTTTAAGATCTCGCAATGATTATGCTTAGGGTAATTAGAATGATTTGTTAATTGGGAAATTTTAAATTTTCAGTTGAGATTATAGATAAAATACTTGAACTTCTAAAGAATCTTCCTATAGTATTCTGCGCTGATTAAATATTTATGGAAAACATTTTGATACTTTTAACTGATTTAAAGTAATTTGAATTGGGTTTAAAATACTCAGAATTATCATTAATTCTTTGTGAGAGATATTAATAACCTGGAGTAGAAAATGATTAATACTTGAAGTTAAAGAAAAGATTCGTGTTATTCAAATATGAATGCTCCCTTTAAATCAGTTGCAATTATTCAAGATCTGAACTTAGATAAATAGAAGAAGATATAAATTCAATTGAAACAATTCTTGGATAGGCTGGAGATGTTTAAATGAGACTATTAACTGTTAAATAAAAACTCAAGCCTTTAGTTGAAAAAAGCAATTAGGCCATGCTACTTAAAGCTCTAGGGTTTGGAGTGCTAGCTTCAGGATTAGTGATAACTGCTGTTATTTACTTTACTAAAAAGAGAAATTGAATAATTATTAAACCAATTTAGAAAAGACTAATATAAATTTATAAAAGACTTTTATTACTTTTTTATTAAATGTTCTCATTTTAAGAATGACGGGGTTTTGGGGTTTTGGGGTTTTGGGGTTTTGGGG